TGTTCTATGTAAACTTATTTCCTGGAGACAGTGTTGTCACAGCGAATCATGGGGGGGTGGGGCACCTCATTTGAAATGAAAGGCGCCTCCACTAATGTCAGTAGAAATTAAAATATTTAGCTTATGGGGAAACTAAGAGAGCCGTTACATCACACAGCCAAAGCCACATATTTAATGTGTGTCACCTAGAAATTACATTCATAGACAAGTAAATTCTTTTCCCAGTTAAGCTGTGGTGGCAACGTAATCACTGGTTTATGTTAGTTATGAGGCAATGTTTTTGTTTTTTTTCTTAATGAATGAAGTGCTACATTATCAACATGAGAATTGCCAGGAGCTGGTTGGTATGGTTGGGTGAAACTGTCACACCAGTGAGCAGGTTCATATCCAGAGTCCTGTCTGGGATTTAGGCAACTAAAGCACTTTGGTTCAGGTGAGGAAAAGATGGAGGTTTTAGTTAAATATAAATAAACACTTTTTCTGAAGCCACCGTCAACTTTTTCTGTATTAAACCAGACGACAATCTTTCTCTAATGTTCATGAGAGTCTAAACGGAACCATCAAAAGGTTTAATAATGCTGTACAAGTGGATATTGTTCTGCAAGATCAGATATTTTTGTGGAAAGCTAATATGGTTTCTGTGAGCATTTCACTGATATGTTGAGTATCAATCTATTTTTTTTTAAATATGTACATTAACAACTGTCTTCACTATGTGAATAAAAAAAAAATGTAATTTGGTTAATTACATATTTCCTGCAGTTTAGTGGTATAAACATGATTTCCATTCGCTGTCTCAAAGTATCTTTACTTACTGCCCTCCTGGACATACAGCTAGGTGACCTGTACAACATGTACAACATTATCATCCTTTTTACTGCAGTGTAATAGTGGAGCACAAACTGTTAAAAGAAAATATATCAAAATGTGCTTTCAGACTTTTTTTTTTTCAGAGTTTACTGTGGCTCTCACAAGATCAGAACAGTTCCCTGACCTTTACATCACTGACTTACATCATAGAAACCCTGAGCTCAACTTTCCCTCACAAGCCTTTAGATGACACAAGGCGGCAAGGTCACATGAACATGGGAAGCTTGAATAGAGCGAATAGAATAGAGTGTTAACTCCCCTGCTCAGTGATGCAGCAGTATGGACAGAGATTCTGGGAAAACAACCGAATGCATGTAGAAACCAATTTCCCCATCGTCCCTGTTAACACAGTCAGTACAAAGCAGACACAGATTCTACCTGACAGCCATACACAAAATACTAACAGCTTTGATACTGGGAGCAGCTGGAATAATAGTAAAGGCCACAGAGGAAAAAAATACAATACATACTGTACAGCTGCTTTCACCTTGGACCCTTTGCCAAGTCTGAATCACCCAACATGAATATGTTTTACTATCAACATTCACTGTGGAGTTGAAGGGTTTAAATGCTGCAGTGGTAGAAAGTAGTTTTGAACCTTCAATTTTAAAGGCTTTGGTACTTTGCTTGAACTTTTCCATTTGATGACATTTTTCACTATATTTCATAGGGAAATATTGTACTTTTAACTCCACTATATTTAGTTGACATTTGATTGACTGCACTTCTACCAGCTACAACATTAAAATGCTGCTTATGTATATTAAAAATGCTGCTGAATATTAAAGGTCATTTATTGTATAAAAGTAGATGTCCATGTCTTTTTTGATCATAAAGCAGGTCTAGGTTCTATATTAATACTGTGAAAGTATCAAAGCGCTCAGTCCACAGAGAAATGCACACAGCCTGTAATCAGAGACTGAGCCTTAGAACAAGCAGTCAGGGCTTCTGTAACTTTGTGATGTCACAACAAAGCAGTCACTGTTCTCAGCCAGGCCCCGAGCCCCGCCCACCTGGACCCACCATCCAATGTTGCAGGATTTGGTTTTTCTGAGTATTTACCTAAAATCTGCCTTATTTTTATTCAATCACTCCGAACACAGTCAGCCAGTCAGAAGAGAGGCTCAGAGCCTCCTCTCTTCTTATTGGCTCACAGACCTGTCATTACTAGAGCTCCAGAGAGAAGCCTGGGAGAGGAGATGTAAAACTACATTGAGGTGGTTTTTGGTTCTTAAAACCACAAATATATCTTCTTATGGATCAACACTTCAAATAAAACACAGGAAAAGTTTAAAATATGAACTTTTAATACATCAGTAATAATAATCTAATAATATATATAACATAACACTGTGAAAGGGACCATTTCATTTTAATAGTAGATTTTTGAGTGATTAATACTCTAACTAGCCTTCATGTTTACAGTGTTGCATAACTGCTTTTACTTGAGGGTATCAGGGACTATTATATTTGCATTTATAGCTTCCTGGTGTTGGTAGTGGTCATAAACTCCACAGGGTTCCTTTAAACCTGCATTAATATTCCTTTCTCACAGACATGTTTTGACATGTCACATTAGGAAAAGCACAGGTGAACACTTGAATAGAACAGAGCTATTATTAATGTTATTAGCAACACTTGTGCTTTTCCTACTATTACAAGTCAAAGTGTCTGCTGTGAAAAGCCTTTTCGAATTTTTGGCCACTTCAGGGAAGAGTAACAAATTGCAAAGACAACACTGACATATTGCAAATGTGCTAACAACTATTGATTTGTGCAGCTTTAAAGTACAGAATCTGCAAATTTCTACCTGACTCGCAGTTTCAGTAGCTTTTCCAACCTGAAATAGCTCTGGAGAAAACAATGAAAACTTTTCTTTTTTCTTTTCTTTTCTTTTTAGTGTTTTAGTGATGATTTTAGTTGAATATGTAAGAAGATTATGAATACAAAATAAAGGAACAGTAATAATGTCACTGTCTGTAGTCACCTGTCACAAGCCAATATTAGCCAAACCCTGACTGAAATGTGATAAAAATCACTGAATAAAGTGACAGCAAGTAATGATTTCTCTGTCAATGACACAAACAGGATAATCAGAGCAGACTCAAACACTGTGGTTACATATGCTCCAGATTTGAATAATGAGTGTTATTTAGTCATATATATATATATATATATATATATAATATATATATATATATATATATATACACACACATACATGTATATATCCAGTATAAATTATTATTATTAGAGTAATATCATTCTTATCAAAGCCCGGATAGTGCCAGATTAAAGCAGAGTATGACTCTGTGTGTCAAACGGTCAAACAGTATGTTGTACCTGTGTTGCCTGACGAGGAGGTAATGAAACGCACAGAGGAGAGTGAAAGAATGATGAGCTGTGACGTCCCTGTTCCTACACCCGAGTCTCATCACTCATCACTCCGCTCCCACGTGGTTTCAGTGGGAGTGATGAAAGCATCAGCAGAACGCTGACAGGAGATAGAATACGAGTCTCCTGTGTCTCAAAGATCGCAAAAAATCGCATCAAAGAAACAGTCAGAGAAAGACCTTTTGTAGGGGAAATGTGAGGAGGGGAAACAAGAGTTAAAGACATGAGAGGGGAGAGAAGGGAGGGAAAATGAGGGTGAGGAGGGAGGAGAGAAATGATAACAATGGAAATGGGTGAGGAGGACAACGCAGAGATAGAAGAAGGGAAGGAAAGTGGAGGAACAGCAGTGAAAGACAAGTAGAGGAATGGAAAGAAAAAAAGAAGTAGAGGAAAAAAGAAAGTGGAGGAAAAGATAGGAATGGAGAGAAAAGTAAATAAAAGGAAAACGTTGCAAAGTAGAAAAACAGATGAAAGGAATACAAAGGAAACAATGGGAAAGGGTAGAATAGGACAGTAGAAGAACGAATAGAAGAGGGAAACAAGAGAAAAGGGAATAAGGGAACAAACTGATGAGCACAGGCATGGAACAGAAGAAACATAGGGGAGATAAAGACGAGAGGCAAAGAGGGGGAGATGGGTTAGATAGGAAAGTAGTAACAAGTAAAGTAGAGGAGAGGAAATGAAATGAAAGGATAGGAAAGTAGAAGGCAGGAAAGGCAAGTTTCTGACAGGAAAGGAAAAGTCAGGAAAGAAGAGGATAGGAAGAAAAGGAAAATAAGAGGCACGAGTAAAGGGATGGAGGAAACAGATCTGCAGAGGTGTGTGACGGGGAAACAGGGAAGAGATAAGAACAAAAAGAGACAGAGGCAGGGACGAGAGCGACGGGTTGGCGGGAAAATGTACAGTGAAACAGAAACAGAATAGCAGGGCTGGATGAAGAGCTGAGGCAGCGAGAGACAGCAATAGAGTCCCTGATGTGTTCTTATCTGCTTCAGAAACCCAGATTTCCAGACTGATAGCTGGAAAAAACCCCAGTAATCACAGAGAGGACCTCGGCCCCTTCACTCCAATCTCCCCACTACAGCCTCTCCTCCATCAACCTGAACTCCACCTGAAAGGAGTTTAGATTGAAAATGCCCAGTTCACTGTGACACTGACATAAAGTCTCTACATGCTCAATGAAATCTCAACATCGTGATGCTTATCTGGGTAAGTGGGACGTAGAAACCATGTTTTTGTCTCTCCCTGATGCAGACGAAGAGGAACAGAAGTTGCTTCAAGCTGTAAAAGGCTTCAATAACCAAAATACACACATCACCACCCAAACACTTATCGAACAGGGAATGACAGGCCGCATAATTGTGTCTGTCAAAGATGTCATGTACTTTCAATTGACATGACAGGGAGGACCGGGAGGGCTGGATAACTCACAATGTGTCTTTGTGTTTGATGAAAGGTTGGCATCCCCTGGCATCCAACCACAGCGTCGTCACTGTCGCATTGTTCATTGGTCTAGAAACACTGCTGTTTATCTGTCAGCCACTCTGACACAGAGCGGGGAGTGTGTAGTGATGTGTGCTTGGGGGGGGGGGGGTCACGTTGGGAAAAGCAGGAAAATCCATTAACAATAAAGGTTTCTGTGGACTGATGTGTGCATGTTTGTCTGTGATTACTGAGACCGTGGAGAGACATGCAGCAGGACGGACGGTACGGTGTAGAATTCAAACAGGACTCACATTGTCTGTTCTGAGCTTCTTGGCGGGGCAGCCTCCATCCACAGGATGTAGCATGTAATACAGTCGCACTTTATTGGCGTGTTTCCGACTCTGGAGGAGAGAAGGGGCAGAAAAATATTAGTAAAGCAGAAAGCCGTTTGATGTTTTGATGAGGTCTTCTCAGGTGCTGCCCCTTATGGAAAAGCCACATGAATTTCCCATCTTTTACCACATGTGGATGCATGTGTTCTACATTTGATCACACGTGTCACAGTACCACATCGTTTAGCATGTGGAACCATGTTTAGCACATGTGGAAAACATGTTACTACATGTTGTAACATGTCACAAATACTGCAGATTTTCACCATAACATATTCAACAAGTGCAGTTATGCGATTACTGACAAACACGGAAACAAACAACAAACTATATAGATGGGTTTCACATGTATTCCCAAAGATTTCACATGGCTTAATATATGGGCTTCACACACTACAAATCAAAAATGTTCAAAAACCATGTTTCCCACATGCCAGCACGTGTTCCATACATTTTACATGTGATTTTAACATGTTTTCACATGTTAAATTTCACATGTGATCATGTGATTTTGCACATGTGAACTTCATGTGGTTTTTCTATAAGGGGCAGGCCCTCAACTTCTTTATTTTACCTTGAACTAATTTATTTAAAGATGCTATAATGATAACAATAATAAATACAATATCACAATTATATATGAAAAATCACTTGAAACATAAAATACAATAATATAATTATGTATTATTTAAAAAAGAAAAAAAACAAAAACTGAAATATAAAACACAACAATATAATTATATTGTTATTATATTATATGATAATATCGTATATCATGATATTTGGGCTGGACTGTACACAATTTTGGATATCGCCCAAGCTGAGTCTCAGTGTTATACATATACTGACAGGTTTGAAACTGGATTAGACTCAGACTACACCTGGACTCAGGAGGCCTGAAAGTAATATCCCATTTTCACCCATTTCTATTATCATGTTTGTATGCTTTCACTCTGATTTCTGTGAAATGAAGAAAAAAGTGATATCAGAGGACTCATGAAACACCACACAAATAAGGGAAATCTGAACCAGAAAAAAGTGCTATAATGTATACTGCATACATTTATGTGTGAGTAATCATTTGCCATGTCTTCCTTCACATCCCCAGATATCACACATGTGGTAACTTAAACTACAAGGTTTACCTGCCTTTACGCAGGGGTCCAAAGAGAGCAAATTTAATATGAAGCAGTTTGCCCTTCTCCACAGGCTCCACAAACACTGAGCCATGATGAACTGTCAAGCCTCTGTTTGTCTAATTGTCTGTGCACTGCAGTTACTTTGTTTCACTTTACGTCTATAATATTATAATATCTATAATATTTTTAATAATAATGCATCAATAACAATATGAAAACAATATGTATATGTATATGAGACGTATACATAATACCTGGTGAACATAGTGGAGAATTTAGCAGCTAAACAGCCAGATATTTCCCTCAAAAACAGAGCTAAAAGAGAATGAATGTTGGATTAAAAGTCATCAGAACACACAAACACAACTCTAGGTGAATGATTATGTTTTCTGCAACTGCTGGACATCTAAGCAACTGTTCAACTCAAAAGGTGATGATGTCGTTGTCGTGTTTACACTTTGTTTCATATGGGCAACATCAACTGGTCTTCTAATTATTCCAAACAGCCTGGGAACTACATCACTCTCTGTTTACGCCATATTTCCCCACAGATATTCCACCCTGAAAGAGGATGTTTTAAGCCAGTGTTTTTTTGTCATTATTAATATTTTTGTTAGATACCAGACACTGGACAATGACAGGAAATGAAGAGAGAGACGGATGAGGAATGACATGCAACAAAGCTCCTAAATTGGACATGAGCTGGGGATGTTCATGGTCAGTGCCTTAAACCCTAAGCCTCCAGGGCGCCATTGAACAGAAAATGCAAAATCCAATTTTCAGTCCATAATCGTCCTAGAATACAATAATTACATTTGAAAGGAGTTAAAGTAATATGTCTGTAATCTGTGTTGGATTTAAATCTCCCAATATTTAAAAAGCAATGTTCGGTTGCAGCATCATGTTATTTTAAACACAGAGGGGTGACTCAATCAGTCTCTCACAGATTGGAACAGAAAATTAGAAGGATAAAGATTTCTAATACATAACATATACTGCATGTCCCTGTATCAAGAGTGATGTTGCCATATGTCCTCCCCTATAAGGGGATTTATTATTATCACATATATACTGATATATAAGTTTATAACATATACGAAATACCCACAGTAAAATTTATATGTGTACATATATTAAAAATATTTATCTACTGAATTTTTATATAAAATGTTTTGACTATATATTTTAACAATATATAATTAATTTATATATGTTTAAATTAACTGAAACAACATACATTTAAAAAGTCTATATGCATATATGTCTTTCTTATTCATTTCTCAATCATTATAAATATGTCTGTCTTTGAGGCGCCCCAGTGGCCCACCTGGTAGAGTGCGTACCACCGAGGCTCAGTCCTACCTGCAGCAGCCACGGGTTCAAATCCGATTCACGGCCCTCTGCTGCATGTCATCCCCCCTACTCTCTCTCTCTCCCTGACTTTCCTGTCTCTGTCTCTCTCTCACTGCGGCTGTCACTAAAAAGGTAAAAAATGTACTACACCTTGGTCTTTGCATTCTGGAAAAGTGGTCTAAGATTTTTTGGAACCCACTAATATCAACATATATTTACAGACTTTGGGACGGATATATGTAAGTACAATATAGGTCAACCAATATACTGATTTGAAGAATTGGAAATTGTTTTGGAAGAGATAAGTGGTGTCGGATCAGCCCTAAATAAATCATGACATAGTGGTTTGGTCAGCAAATTAGGTTTGCAAAATAAGCACTACAGTATATGAGTAAGTTATTATACTTTAAATATTTTTGCCAAAATCCCTTAAACAGAGAATTACCTAAAATAAACAAAACATCCATCCATCTTTTCCAACTCCTCAGAGTTACCAAGTCATCTCATGAGATGGAGCTATTTTTGGCATTTGCACATAGGACATATTCATACCACCCTCACTGGAAGGTGGAAGGTGACAACCTAGACAACCTATTCATGTTCCAACCATTCACCATTCAAAACTGCCCTCATAGTCTAACCTCACTATTTAAATACAAAGACTGGAATACAAATGTCAGCCTAGCCGAAGAATCCGTACAACAGAGACCTTAAACTACCCGCTGAACCCCCCCACTGCTGCACAGAGTAAACACTCTGGGTAATCACTGTCATGTATTAATAATATTGTGATGAAAAATTGCCACTTTAAGTGCTTTGCTTTCACAATTCAGGTAACTCCCTGATAAAATATGCTTTTAGAGCAAAAGGCCGAACGATATTGAACCAGGCTGAATTATTGTGTCGAGTTACATCAATCTGAGTCACGCGTTGTTTACAAAAAGACTCCACCTGAACATGGCACTTTGCTTTTCCTTCCCTTCCCCATACACACGCCTGAGTCAGGGATCTGTCTTCGATCTGTGCTGGGTAGAAGTCCCATCAAAAATAACAGAGCACTGTCAAATGAAGTGCACGCTGGCGCTCCCTGACACCGGATCAAATTGATAATTAGTTCACTGAGGCTGAAGCATGACTCTTCTTGGACCCCCTTGGATCTGATTGCACAGCCAGGGGTAAGGCAGGGGAAAGACAGACTTTGGATGGACAGATTAGATTAACTGAAACTGCTTCTGCTTCATGAGGAGAAGCTTTAGATGTCACAGATGTCTGCATCAGAGGTGATACGGCAGGAGGAGTGAAAACCTCCTGTGATGCTGTCACTTCATCGTCAAGGAAAACCACAGAAGAGTTATAGTTACACGATAGCGTCTAGCGAGGCATGGTGAAGAGGGGACAGGTGCCCGTCGTATTGCTCCATCAGGCATGACAGACAAACTCTTCCTGTCCAGTCAGGGGGTGAGGGCGAGGCTGCAGGAATCTATTTGTCTTGCCTGTCTGGCTTCCTGGCAGAGATAAAGCAACCTGATCTCCGTAGCTTCTTTGAGGAAAAATTGATCAATCTTGGAAAGCATGAAGGACACATGGCAGCTCACTCATCACACTTTTCATTAAAACCTGCCCTGCTTTCATCGCCTCCTTTGTGAATAAGTGCAGTATTTACAGTAAGAAAACGAAAATTGATAATGACACTTGTAGAAGAACAAAGCACATTCTGCCACTGTGTAAAAACCTGAGTCTTGTTACTTATGTATTTTGGGAATGTGAAGTGGTTTTATTCATGTAGTATTATCCACTGCAGCAGCAGCAGCAGCAGCAGAGATGATTCAAACTCAGAGAGAACAAAGACAGAAAATTTGAGCATTTAAAATTCAAATTTTCTCTCCAACTTACCACTAAATAATCAGAGTAAAATAATTCACAGGACTGCTTTTCCTACGATGGCAGAATCAGCTTTGTACTGTTCCAACTGTGTGTTCCTGTGTCTCAAAATATAAATTTTAGATTTATTTTGCCATGCAATTAAGGATAATGAATATGGGGAAAATGTTATTCCACATTTGTCTTTCATGGAGCACAGGAACAAGACAATCAACCAGAGTTTGACATCAATTTCCTATGAGGTCACTGCTGATAGCTACCACATCAAAAAGTCATCATTTTACAGTTGGCTGGGCATTGATTCACCTCCCTGAAATATTTTTTTTTTTTCCTTTTTCTTTTTTTGGTAAGCTGCAATCAATTGCACTTCTGGTGCACGTTATTTGTTATGTCCCCCCAAAGTGATTTTTTTACACACTGAGGTTACATCTCTTCTTTGCAGCAGAGAGATGTTTCTGCAGTGCAAACACTTCCAACTCCAAACTGGATACAGAGGCTCCACTTCACCCACTCACAGGAGACATTTCAGCTAATGGGCTATTGTGCACACTGGCCTTTAGAGTTGCCCATTTGAAAACCTATGTATTTGCTCATTATTCTAATTGTAATTGTAAATATGTGATATTTTTTCATTTA